GCACATGACATCAACAGTACAAATTATAGAAGAAACAAACAAACCACAGGAATCACCGGTACATCGGGTGGAAGCGATTCACGCAGTATTGACAAGAAATCAGCAAAAAGGCAAAGAACCAATTCAAATATTGGAGAAATCGATACCAGCCCCGGTCAACAGACCAATACCAAAATCTGCTCCATTATTGGATGAAGCGTCACCGTCACAACCCAATTCGACCAATATATTGGTGCGTCCACCAATTTCACAAGTATCAATATTACACCAATACGATGAACAGTCGCACCAGTTAAAAGATCCAATTTTCAAGGAGCAGTTGCCACCAGAAATAGAGGAAGTACCAATTCCTGATATTGGAAGTACCAATATACGGGGACCGGGATCCAAAATCTGTAAGAAAAAAAAGACATTGGGAATTATGACCAATATGGAACCCTATGATATTCTGAAGGATTTAGGTTCAATTCAACCAACAATCACAATAAAGCAATTATTGGCAGTAGCACCAGAATATCGTAACACCTTAAACTCTTCTTTGATTCGACGAAGAACTCGTCAAAAAGAAATTCGTGAAGTAAGTTTGAATCCGGATCCAAGCGCGTCGACTATTGATGTATCAATTGATGGAGTATTAGTTCAGGGTGTACAAGTGGATGGCGGGGCTAGAGTTAACCTCATGAATGTGGATACAATGGAAGAATTGGGATTGGACCAATTAATGCCAACTACGGTTGTTTTGCGAATGGCAGATTCAAGTCGAGTCCGACCTATGGATACTTTATGAGGAATTGATACAGTTGTTGTGGGGATTACATACACAATTGATTATATTGTATTCCGATTGCAAAGCACAGTATTGTCATATCTAATTTTGTTGGGTCGACCGTGGCTATATCAAGCTGAAGCTCGGAACGATTAGGGTCGTGGAACGCTAAAAATTAGAAAGAGTAAGGATAAAATAGTGCTCCAAATGTATCCTGTCCAATATCATGGAGAAACTCAAATTACCAGTCCAGAATATACATTGGACTGCGAACAGGAGTATACGGAAGAAGATGGCGAATTGGTTGTTTCAAAATCAAAGGCTATCGAGGCACGGGAAGTTGAAGTACAAAATAGGAATATTTACCATTGTGGAGGACCGGGAGAATATTTTGTTCCTCCAGACGTTATTGATGATTTAGATCATATGATTGCACACTGGATGCAGCGAAGAGATATTAATCAAGTTGGTGCTATAGATCCCGAATTGGAAAGCTCCAATTTATCAGAGTTTATGAAAGATCCCGAAACAGAGTAGAAGATTACCGCTGAAGCTCTTAATGGACCAAAGTGTCAATCAATAAATCTAGGCACAAAGGATAATCCCAAATTGATTCAAATTTATGATGGTATAACGGGTAAAACTAAAGAGCTTTGGACAGATTATTTTATAAAACATAAATCAGCTTTTGCTTGGTCTTATAAAGATTTGAAGGGTATTCCAGCTGAAGTTTGTGAGCATCGAATAAAATTGGAGGACATGGCTACACCAGTACGACAAAGGCAACATCGACTGAATCCTAAATATTCATTGATGGTAAAGGAAGAATTGGATAAGCTTCTAGAGGTGGGATTTATATATCCTGTACCACATATTGAATGGATTTCGCCGATAGTTATGGTTCCCAAGAAGAACGGGAAAGTCCGAATTTGCCAAGATTTTCGAAAGTTGAATGTTGCTACAAAGAAGGATTACTTTCCTTTACCATTTACGGATAGTATCTTAGACGCAGTAGCAGGCCACGAATGTTATTCGTTTCTTGATGGTTTTTCCGGATATAATCAGGTACAAATTGCAAAGGATGATCAATTAAAGACTACGTTTACTACGGATTGGGGAACTTTTGCTTATAAGGTCATGCCTTTCGGACTTTGTAATGCGCCAGCTACATTTCAGAGGGTGATGATGCAAGCATTCCAAGATGAGCTACGGGTTTCAATGGAAATCTTTTTAGATGATTTCTGTACATTTAGCACCAGAGAAGAACACTTAGACAAATTGGGCTGGTGCTTAGGCAAATGTACTAAATTTGGAATTTCTTTGAATTCAGAAAAATATAAATTTGGGGTATCCTCAGGAAAATTATTGGGTCATATCGTATCGGAAACAGGTATCGCCACCGATCCGGATAAAATAAAAATTATACTAGAACTCCAAATACCCGATACAATGACAAGTGTTCGCACCTTTATTGGGCATGTTAGCTATTATCGACGTTTTATTTATCTATTTGCTGTTATCTGTATTCCATTGACAAATTTGTTGAAAAAGCAACTACCGGACAGTCTCGAACCAATTTGGACCAAGGAATGTACAGTTGCGTTTGAAACATTAAAACAAAAATTGGTTTCTGCACCAATATTGGTTGCCCCTTATTGGACAAAATCTTTTGAGGTTTATGTTGATGCCTCTAATGTTGCGATTGGTTCGGTATTGAGCCAGAAGGATGACAAGGGCCACGATCATCCTATTTATTATGCAAGCCGTCAGTTGGTGGCTGCCGAACGGAATTACACTACAACTGAGCGAGAGGCTTTGGGAATGATTTATTCTGTCCAAAAGTTTTGGCATTATCTTCTTCGATATAAATTTATCTTCCACGTGGATCATGACGCTTTAAAATATATGATTAACAAGCCCCAGTTGAGTGGCCGCATCGCAAGATGGGTATTGCTTTTATAAGAATTTGATTTTACTATTAATGTACGGCCGGGGAAGTTGCATGCCAATGCGGACCATCTATCGCGACTGTCCAATATATTGGGAAATGAACCCATTCCTGATGCATTACCTGACGCTGAGTTATTTCTTGTCGACCTAATTACGCCGGAATATAGCAAATTGATACAGTATTTGACTTTTCAAACTTTTCCTTTCCATTTTACGGAGAAGCTTAAGAGAAGATTGGTTTTGAAAAGCGCACCTTATACTATGATTGGAGAAACTTTATATAAACAAGGGAAAGACGGTATTTTACGCCATTGCGTTTATCAGAATGAAGCACGCACTATATTGGAAGGATGTCATTTGGATAGTTGTGGTGGACATTTTGCAGGCGACAGCACAACATGCAAAGTTTTACAGGCGGGATATTGGTGGCTGACAATGTTTGCGGATGCTCACCAGTTTGCACGTCATTGTGACCCATGCCAGCGAATTGGTCGTCCTACAGGTACATCCGCGATGCCGTTAGTTCCAATTCTGGCACAGGCATCTTTTGAAAAATGGGGTATTGATTTCGTGGGCCCAATTGCACCTGTCTCTCGCCATGGACAAAAACGGTATATATTGGTTGCCACGGACTATGTTACCAAATGGGCCGAAGCGAAGGCAACAAAATCTGATAGTGCTAGTGATGTAGCCACATTCTTATATGAAAATATTATTACACGGTTTGGCTGTCCAAAAGAATTGGTCAGTGATCGAGGAACTCATTTCATTAATAGTACAATTGAAGCATTGACTGCTAAATATGAGATTAAACACCGCAAGACGACACCGTATCATCCCAGAGCAAATGGCCAAACAGAAAAGACCAACGGCATATTATGTACAATTATCACCAAGACAATATCTGATGCAAGCACGGATTGGGACACTAAATTGTTTCCCACTTTGTAGGCATACTGTACTGCATATAAAGTTACGACTAATGCTACACCCTTTCAATTAGTTTATGGTCAGGAAGCAATATTACCTATCGAATTCGAAGTTCAAAGTTTGCGCATTGCACTGGAGGAATGATTAGGGGATACGGAGTCGTTACAAGTTCGTTTTGCACAATTGGAGCAGTTGGATGAAACTCGAACCAATGCCCTATTGAGACAGGAGGCCACTCAAAGGCGACGAAAAAGTTATTATGATAGTAAATTAAAACCAAAATTTTTTATGCCCAATGATTTGGTACTGCTTTATGACAGTCGTTTTAAAAATTTTCCAAGAAAATTTCATATTCGGTGGCATGGGCCGTACAGAGTCATTGAGGGTTTTTCCAATGGCTCAGTCCCATTGGAAGACTTTATGGGTGTTAAATTTACCACGCATATAAATGGAAATCGGCTATGTCTGTATGCTACATAAACCCGGGACGGGTTTTATATCGGTGGGGGGGGGAGAGAGAAAGCCAATTTAGTATTGAAGTGACAGCGTAAGAGTTATGGAGCATTGACCGTAAGAGTTGTGGAGCATGGAGCCGGTCGCTATCGACATTTTTTGGTCGCAAAGGAGACAGAGAGAGTTTCGCACGGCGCAGACGTATGGGTTTCTAAAGTTTTCGCAGAGGCTACCACCAATAGATATAGCATTGTTAACGGAATATGTGACGAATTATGATCCAGAAAATGGGTCCAGTGTGGTTCATGGGAGAATTATTGGTATAGATGAGGTGACGTTGAACAAGGTTCTATATCTTCCCATGGGTGAGCTACCAGTATCGGGAGACTTGGAGTCTGATTTTATTCCAAGCAAGTACTTCAAGTCGGAAAACGAAGCGTTTGAGAAAAATCAAGGGTGGAAGACAGCGGATGCACTTACGCCGGAGCTGGGAGAATGGATGCGGTTTGTGCAGAAGCGATTAGGGCTGAACCGACATTCGACGTATATGGCAAGGAGGTTATTGTTTTCAACAATTGCGACGCTGGAGGGGATGGTCTTCAATTAGGCAGCATATGTTGCGACCAGAATCGATGCGGAATTGGACGTGAAAAGAAGAACAGGGAAGGTCACCACGATATTATGCTCCAACTACGTGTGTGAAGCAATTAGATATCAACTGAAGCAACCTTTAATAGTGGAGAGACTAGACACTGTAGCAACAGAGACAAGACTAGAGTCAACGCCATTTCCATCAAAACAAGTCGAGGAAGCGGCAATAGCAGAGTGCAGCCAAGCTAGAAATTGCGAACGGACCAATGTCAGCTCGTCATCTAGAGAATTGGGTCGTCCCAGTACCAATATGGCCGTCACTCTACCAGTACTGGTAGAGTATTATCAACGGGTGGGTTTATCGGGAGTTGGTCAGCAGGCAAGAGAACTCAAGGAGTTAATCTCGGCACAAATTACTCAATTGCAGATGGCCGTTGAGAAAATGGGCAATGAATTCAGCCTTAGACAGGTACTGGAGGAGAAGGACAAGATCATAGAGGATCAGAAGAAGAAGATTGGGAATTTACAATGTACTTCAGTAACGGACGCTCTCAAATATTCAAGATTAGAGCACCAATTCAAGAAGACCCAAGCGGAATGGGCCAACGAAAACAAGTTCGCAAAGAGTCTGATAGAGCTTACCAAGCAGGAGTGTATGGAGTTACGGAACCAATACCAGGAGCAGAAGAATAGGGTGGCGGAATTGGAAGCCGGGAGATCCAAATTGGAGGACGATTTTCGGAGACAATCGGAGAGCTCGAAGTTGGAGAACGAACAATTGAAGAGAAGGATTGCCGAATTGGAGGCAGAAATGATTACAGTTACCACGCAGCAGGGAGAGGTCAATCCAGCAAGTACATCTTTACAGGAATTAGAGAAACAGGTGCATGCCCTGGAGGAGTAGCTGAAAGAGCGAGACACCCAAATTGCGCTTTTGGAGTCTCAGGTTCGGGAATTGGGAGCACTTAACGAGGACTTGACAGCTTTATTGAACGGAGAGCAAGTGGGAGAGGGAGTTGGAGAAGAAGCTCAAGAAGTCGAAACCAATCTCACTTATGGAAATGATGAAACGGACCAAGGCGGACCAGAGGTTCAGACATTGGAGGAAGCCAATGATGTGGTGATATTGTAAAATGTAATACGAGGTGGTTTGCAAGGACGCTGCACAGTAAGGAGTGGGGCTATGTAGAATGTATAAATGACTTTTCTGGTTCGTTATCGGTTAAATAATAGTAATGTTGGGATTTAGATGAATGGTTAGTTTGATTAGTTGTTAATAGTAGGAAGTTAGGAACATATGCGGTTAAGAAGCCAAAGTTTCACAACCTGTGGAATCTGCTGAATGACGATTCATATTTTGATAGGATAAAGAGGTTGAGGAAGAAGGAATGGAGGCCAGACTGTGATAGTCGTGAGCCAAGGTAAAGCTTAGAGCTACCCTTTTGTTTTCTTTGCTTTTGTGTTTTTCTTTAGTATTGGATTTAAGAAAAGGATTGCTAAAACTGTGATTGAGATATTGAAAATTATGAATTCGAATTAATTAATTTGGAGAAAGAAAGTGTGATTGTGATAATAGAGATTATTGCATTGTGATAGTAGCACTGGAAGATTGAGTAAAAGTAAAGAAATTGAGAATTGAAGTACTGTGGAAAGAGATTAAGCATCCTGTAGATGTCAAAAATGTCAGTGATATTTAGTAGCTGCAGGGCAGTGAACGATTGTAGAGATTGTGAAGGGATTGAATTGAGATGAGGAAGAGAACTTTGGAAGTTTTAGATAATTAATACATAATCAATTGTAACATAACATATCCAATTCATACAACGAGTCTTTTCCCGAGATCGAACCCACCTATACTGATCAAATATCTTGGTGTTTTGAGTCCGAGTCAAACGACGATTACAATATTGCAACAAAGTAGCCATACCTTATCACCTACGTTGAATTGTGGTTGTTCCTTTCGATAGGTATCCTCATTGATCTTTTGTTGTTCTTGAGATTCTTTTAATTGTGCTTTCATTTTTGCATATAGTTTTGACAAATAATTTGTCAAATCTTCTATCACAAGTTTATCAACTTTTGAAAAGTAAAAAATATCAAGTCATAGATGATAACCATAATTGGCAAAAAAAAGGTGTTTGTTGAATAGAAGAATATATCAAATTATTGTATGCAAATTCTACTAATGGAAAAAGAATTGTTTAATCATCTTGATGATAATTGATGGTACACCTCAAATACTACTCCAAAATTTTATTTATTTATTTTATTTGCCTATCAATTTAAAGATAAAAAAATTTAAAAAAGATTTTTATCCATTTTTTATATCTTAAAAAAGGTTCTCCTAAATCTTGATATAAATTGAATCACCTTATCTAATATAATATATTTTGTCAATCTAAAATAGTGATAAATATTATCAAAAAAAAAATTAGCCATTTCTTTACTTATGATAGATTTTGTATATAATACAAAATATGTTAACTTGATAAAATGATCTATTATTATAATTATAGAATCATATAAACTTGAGATTGAAAGATTTATAATAAAATCTATAGAAACAGAAGACCATAATTGTTCTAAAATAAGTAATGATTGAAGAAGTCCATAAAGTCTATGACAAGGAATTTTGGATCTTGAACAAATATCACATGATTATAAAAAGTATTTAACTACCTTTCATATTTAAGATCACCAAAAATCTTCAGATATTAATTCTAAAGTCTTATTGTATCCAAAATATCCGGCCACTAGAAAGTCATAACAAGCTTGAAGAACATATAATTGCACTTTATTTTTTAGAATATATAATTTTACTTTGCCTTTTAGAATATATAATTTTCCTTCAAAATAGAATAGATTATTCTTAAATTCAAACTTGAAAGTATCATGAGACTTAAAAGAATTATTCTTGATATCATGATCAAGAGGATCAAAAGACATACTTGATTGAATTTGCTTGACAAAGGTTGAATCATCAATCAATGTTGATTTTATTACTCAAAGATGAAAATGCTTTGGCTTCAAGAGAATTATTTTTTGTTAATTAAAAGCTACATTTTTTTCTTTTGGTATAAGATAAGAACATTTAGAAAGGACATTTGATAAATCTTATTATTTTCTAAGTCTATAGGTGATCTTGAAATAAAATCTTGATAAAGACATACTCAAATGGCCTTAGTGACAATTCAAAATACATGTCAATATGAAGTGTTTGAGATTCTTGTCATCCATATATATAATAAGTAGACTAAAAGAATCTTTTAGATAATGATACCATTTTTAAAATGAATCTATAATTGCAAGAAGTTCTTTGTTGTGGATCTTGTAATTAATCTCAACTGTTGAAAATTTCTTAGAATAAAAAGCAAACAAATAGAGCTTATTATTTACTCTCATTTGTGATAAATAACATTCATAACAAAGTTCAATACATTTTTTTCCATGAAGATGCCTTAAAAAAATTGACACAATACAAAATTAGTGCTAAAATAAATGTTGTCTTTAAGACTTCAAAAGATATTTCTAGTTCTTTGCTCCATTCAAGTTTGTCTTTATATGTTAGATGTATAAGATGAGTTATAACTTAAGAAAAGCTTTTGATGAAGATTCAATAATATTTTACAAATTCCAAAAAATATTACATATCTTTGACTGTTTTTGAGACCTCACAATGCATGATAGTTTGGACCTTCTTAGGATCTATCATTAATTCTTTATTGGAAATGTTGTATCCTAAAAAATCAACTTGAGTAATGTAGAATATACACTTTTTTTTCTTTGCATATAATCCTACATCTCTAAGTTTTTATTACATATGACAAAGATAAAATTCATATTCTTTTGTATTTTTAGAATTGGTCAAAAAGTCTTGAAATCAAAAGTAGGTGATACTTACACTTAATGGTGATCTTGTTAAGTCCTTGATAGTCTATATACATCTACATAGATCCATCTTTTTTCTTTACAAATAAGATAGGAGCTCCTATTAAAAAAATTTGAGTGGCATAAGAAGTTTTTAGCCAAATTCTCATTAGTGTATTCATTTAGTGCAACCAACTCATTTTGCAATAAGCTGTAGATTGGACCAAATAATAATTGAGCTCCTTCTTATAGAACAATTGAATAATCATAGGATCAATGCTTTGGAAGAATATTTACATTCAACTTTTCCAAAATGTCCTAAAAATCTTGATATTGGTTAGAAGTATCACTTGATGTCTTTTTGCCATTAAAAATGGGTGTGGCATATATAGCAAAAGATGGCCTTTTTTTGCCACATTCATGAAAGCTCTTATATCTATTAATAAGGATTTGGATGTACTAGGCTTATCTATTTCTATTTTACTATCAAAATTTTGGATTAAACTATAAAAAAAAATTAAGGTTATAATAAATCTAATCTATCTAAAGATTATATTTTTTTAACCATGATAATTCTAAAATAGCTAGATTAGAGGGAGATCTTATTACATTAAATATTATCTCACTATTATGATCTTTAATTGCTACATCTAAAAAAAATATCTTATGATTAACATCTCTAGAAGACAAAAAATGACCCTCTATGACTTCTATATGTATGGATTTAGATTTCTTGATTTAAGATATTTCTTATTTTTTGACAAAGTCTTTGTCTATAAAATAGGTTAAAGCTCCTAAATCTAATAATACAAAGAATTTGTGATTTTTAGGTCGTAAACATATATCTATTATAAAATAAGATGAAGGATTTAAAGAAAGAATAGGACCTTTATTAAGTGTTGTATATGATTCTAGCCCCACGATTCCTATTATTGTTGGAAAATTTTATTTTTTGAGACATTGTCTTCTTTAGCAATTATACTTTTTATTATGTAATTGTGTTATTTCTTTGGAAAATTTTGAGCAATGTACTAAGCTTCTCCATAATATAAGTACAAATCTACTAGACGCCATTAGTCTTTTCTTACTTAAAGAGGGATTTAAAGTGTATTGTATCAATTTTCATTGATTTAGGCCTTGATAAATAAGTTTCTAAAAACTTAGGAGCTATCATCATTACTTGGCTTGTCTATCTAAGTCTTTGTTCTTGACGTCTTTCAAATAATTGATTGTTACATGCAATGATTTGAGCAATAAATTATTCTAAAGATTTTTCTATTAACATTATCAATAACAAATCTTTGATGTTATCCTTCAATCCATATCAAAATTTATTGATAAAGGCTTTGTCATTATAATCCATGTTGCAAGTGAAGTTTTGGAATTCAGCAGCATATATGGTGGCTGATTGAAATCCTTGTTGTAAAGATAAGAGTTTGGTCTTTGCTAGTCTTTTTCATTCACTTTTTTTGAATGTAGTCATAAATACTTCTAAAAATGAATTAAAATCATAAAAGAGTTGTAAATCCTTTTCTATCAAAGGTAAAAAATAAAATAAAAAAAATAATTCTAGATAAAAGTGTATCTATGAATCCAACTTGAGTAAATCCATCAAGATATTAGAAGAAATGCAACCTTAGATAGACCTTGACTTATTGCAAAAATCTTCAAAATTTTGATATTTTTCCATCAAACTTCTTAATTATACTAATCCTTGTCCCTACTATACTTGTAGAAGCAAAACTTCTTAAATTTAGTTATAAAGCTGATTTACTTTCTTCCTTCAATTATACAATTTTTTGATATAGACTCTAAAATTCTACCATAGGCATAGGATTAGTATTTCCATGGTTGATGCTTGTAATGTATGAAATTTCTATCCTAAGAGTATTGATAAATTCTTGAAGATCAACAATAATTGCAAATCTATTCTTTCTTCTGTCAAATGTAGTATCTATGATATTTTCTTCTCTTTCAAAAAATTTAAAAAATCTATAAGTCAAATTAAATAATATTAATTTATAACTTCTAATATTAAATAAAAATTTCCAGAAAGAGGTATAATTTGTTTTTTTTAAGGAAGATATCAATGTTAAAAAATTAAACAATTTGTTTAAAAGTAGATACTCAACAATCTTCAAAATACAACAATAAAAGTAGAGTAATCCACTCACTTCTAAAATAAGACAAGAATAATGAATTAGCACTCTTATCAAATTATCAAGGACATGAATCTAAAAGAAAGAAAACCTCAATACACTCTTA